CACTGAGCCTTGCCGTAGAAGTAGTCACAATCCAAACCGTCCGCATAGAAAGGCTTCACCTCGTGCTTGAGAGCCGATGTGGGTATCGCAACCTTGGAATTACCGGTATCTGGTCCCTCATATCGCATCTTCAGGTTCTCGCCGCCACCCTTTTCGCACATGTCCACCACCAGGCGGTGGATACCTGGTCCAAGGAACTTCTGATGGCTTGACCTCTCGCGCTCACCGTGGCAGCCATTGTTGTCGACGACCTCCTCGCCGTTCAGGTACAGGAGGGAGCCGTCATCGGAGGCGGTGTAGAACTTGTAGTTGCCCGAGGTTTGGGTGCTCAGATAGCCGCTGCACCTGATGCAGAAGTTGTCGCCTTGCTTGACGTGAGGGAACTTGCCCTTGTGCATGTAGATGTTCGGCAGAACTGCACTGTGCGAAGGGGTCAGACCTCCAAGGTCAGGGACATTGCACTGAGCCTGGTCGTAGAAGTAGTCGCACTCCAAGCCTTCTGCCAAGCGCTTGTGTGCGTGTTTGAGAGCAGATGCGGGCACCGTGACCTTGGAGCCACCGGTATCTGGTCCCTCGTAGCGCACCTTGAAGGCCTCGCCGCCACCATTGTCGCACATCTCTACCACCAGCTCGTAGGTACCCGCCGAAAGGTACTTGTCCTCGCTTGACCTCTCACGTTCACCGTGGCAGCCGTTGTTGTCGACGACCTTAGCCCCGTTCAGGTACAGCAAAGAGCCGTCGTCTGAGGCAGTGTAGAACTTGTAGTGGCCCGACTTCTTGGTGCTCAAATACCCTTTGCACCGGAGGCAGAAATTGTCCTCTTGCCGAACATAGGGGAATTTGCCGCGGTTCATGTGGATATTCGGCAGGATTTCACGGTGCGTGGGGGTCAAGGACGCGAGGTCCGGGACATTGCACTGAGCCTGGTCGTAGAAGTAGTCGCACTCCAAGCCGTGTTCGAGTTCGGTGGGAGATGGGGCATCGATGGCAAGTGTAGTAGTGGTTATGGTGGTTGTAGTGGTTCTTGTAGAAGTTGAAGTTGTGGTGGAGGTAGTTGTGGTAGAGGTAGTTGTGGTTGTTGACGTGGTGGTTGACGTCGTGGTGGTTGATGTCGTGGTTGTGGTACTGGTGGTCGTGTAGCAGGCAGTGCCCATACTCAGGCATCTCCCGTCCACCCAGGCACACTGCATGTGGCTAAGCCCATCTGTCACGAAGTAGCTTTCGCAATCCGCTTCCTGCAGGTGCGAGCATGAGAAGCTGCCCTCCACGTGAGTCCCCTGGCACTCCACAAGGGGATCTTCAGCCTGGACAGCGCGCTGCTTCCCCGAGGCGACTGGAGGTGAGTTGACGTCGAAGGACCAGCCTTCCTTCGAGTCCTCCGCTTTGTTCGCCTTGGATTTGCTCTTCGTCTCTTGGACATCCCCGCGCGAGAAGTCCTTCAGCGCGGCGATGGCCCGGGCGCGACTCTCCAAGGACACGATGTCGTCGGGCATCGCCATCAAAATCAAGGCGAACTGGTCCGCGATGTTCACCAGGGGGATGACCTGTTGCGGGCTCTGATAGTGGGGCCCGAAGCCCATCTGCAACCCAAGCTGAAGCACATTGCCCGACAGCAATCCTTTGACTTCGAAGTTCACGGTGCCGGAGTTCTTGAAGCTGAAGAGCTTAAACGTCTCCTCGCCCTCCTCGCTTTGGCGGATCACCTCCTCTGCCGCCCTTCCCTGCGACTTGGAGGTGGTGTTCACGCCCAGGTCCTGGCCGTACTCCACGGAGGCCAGGTACAGGTCGTCCTCCTCTGTCTTCCAGTACAGGGATTCCTGCACCTTCTCCTCCTCACTGCGGAGGCTGCGGTTGCTTTCCAGGAGAGAGGATCGCTTGATGGAGGCCATGCCGGTTCCACTCTCCTCATCTGCGTCAGACACGGCGAAGTAGCTCTTGGCGGTTTGGTG